GCATATTTAATGTCCAAAAGAAGAATGTATTTGGTTTTCATTTAACGAAGAATGGAGCAGGCACAGAGAGAAGCCTGCTATAATGGTATACCACTGAAACAGGAACTTGAGCTAATGAGTCAGGAACACAAGGGATCAAATCCCAGATGCCAGTCTGAGAAAACCAGACTTGACAGGTATCTTACACAGTCCAGTTTGTGTACCTTGTCATGCCCATAGGGCTCAATTGATTAGAAATTTAAGGAAATAAGCCCTTCAGCTTTCATTCCTTCCTGTCTCCATTATGGAAAAGCTCTTCAGATAAACTGTAAGTCTTGTATTTCTTGAGACCATAGTGAACAGAAATATTATGTTCAGATAGCTCACGATATTTTAAAGTTTACTTATATGGATTGTAACTGCTATATCTGTGTGAGAATAAAGACGAAAGTTGTTGGATCAGCATATAACTTGACAGGTATGTTTGGAAAAATCACCTGAGGTGCAACAGTTGTTAACTTCAAAATTTTCTGAAAATATGAGTATCTCTAAACAACACCAGAGACAACTCTAGTGCAACAGTGTCTACTAGCTGACTGCATGTATTGTAGTCCCACAGTTAGGGTAATTCAGAAGACTCTTCCACAAAGATCTTCTGGTACCTACTGAAAGGAGAAGTGATGTGGCAGGCTCTGTCGTTCAGGCTTTTTTCCTTAACAACCTGATTCCATTTCTGGAATTTTATTGCTTCTCAAGTCTTTACTTCTGTTTAAAAGTTTGTTCAAAATGGCTTCCAGGTTGAGAAGTCACAAAGATAGAGACTGACAGAGGGTGCTTACACAAATCTTGTTTCTTCAGAAAGCCAAGCTAAAAGCATGGGATGAGGCTGCCTCTAGTACAATTTGTGGTTAATTAAACCAGCACTAACCAAAATGTCTTCTTGACTGATCTTTCAATTTGCTACTGTAACACCAGAGGAAGAAAAGAAAGGCAAAAAAAGGTCCAGTCCAAAGGTCAGTGAAAGTGCTTAGCTTAAACATATGACCCACCAACTAATCCATGGTGGATCAGTCCCAATACATTCCTATGAAGAATAAATGGATTTTTGCATGGCAACCAACTGCATAGTGAGGATGAAATAAGGTGCAAAATGGTGGTTTCCTTATGTCTAGGTCTGTTTTTCTGCAGTCTACTATATATCAGGTAGCTCATCAACTTGACCTTTGATGAATTAACCAGTTCCATCCAGGCTGTGGCACCTCAGGAAAAGGGAGAAGCTACAGACCTGTGAAGTCATAGCCTCCATCCACTGTTGTCTAATTTTGCAGCCTTAGAAATTTCAAATAAAAAGAGTTTTGCAGGTTATGGAAAAAAGTTAAATAGACTGGTATCAGTGGGCAGTAACAATGCATGAAGCACTCTCAGAACCACTCAAATACAACCCAATACAGTTTGAACAGATTTAATTTTAAAGCTTGGAAAGCAGGAAATCTGGCTGCCATTTTAAAAGCTGAAGATGCTCAGACTTAGAGTGGGTGTACCAAGGTACAAAGAGAAGAGCTTCTCAAAGCTGTGCTTAGGAGCACTATCATATGTGAGTGACAACCACCTTATAAAATATTAAGCTATTTTGGATAGTAATATGGAAAAAATTATTAGAATAAACACTGAGCTGTCTAAAAATAGTATGTTATAGAAACTGTGTGCCTTTTTCAGTGTGAAAGCCAACTACGTATCAAAAGTATAATTGTTTTCAGTTTATGCCTGAATCTATACTCCAAATTAAACTCATACAAATATGTTTTTCTTTTTTATACTTAGACTTGAGGATCAAAATCGGAACACATGAAAAACAGAAACTACAGAAATCTGGCATTAAATTTCCATGTTTGGAAGTAAAAGGCTTATGTGGTTACGTATCTATCACAAAATGGGAAATGGAATCACTCTTCTTCCACATTCCTGTCGCTTTCCCAGACAAGCAACTGCCCCAATGAAATTCCTATCTTGAATGCTAATTTGCGATAATAATGAAGTTTGAAAGGAAAAAAACCTACTTAGTAGTACATTCTGAATTCAGTGAAGAGTTTCTATTCTGAAACTTGAAAAACTAAGAGGGATATTAAGACTTTTTTGTATTTTCTATTGAAACTTTTATATTTGTTACTTAACTGAGTTATTTGTATGCACATACACATACACACTTTCTTAAAGAAAAAAAACATAATGTCAAAGCTTAAGGTACCTTAGCCACCTCCAGACAGAGAGAAAAAGAAAGTAACAGAAAGTGTAAGAGAGAGAAGAGAGAGATAAACTGAGAAGGAAAGAAAGAAGGATGGAAGCAAGCAAGGAAGCTAATAACCACCACTGGCTCTGGAAGTATCGGAGGTACAAGCTGTTAGAGGCTGAGAGAGTTACTGGGGAGCACCACTGTGTACTTGCTACAGTCCTAGCTGGGTTTCTCTCATGGTTGCTGCTTTCTGCCCTCTGGGCCACTCCAGACCATCAGAGCCACTGGTGTGTGGATGGCAACTGCTGCAGGAGAAGGAGAGAATGTGATGAACAACAGGGCTCTCCCAGCCCCACGGGAGAGGACACACCAGGGCAGGAAGAGAAGTTGGAGAGGGAAGATGAGATCACCCTTGGAACCACTGTTGGGCTTTGTTCTTCTGGAGGGAGAAGGATGAAGATGATTCCTTTCCTCTACCCCTAAACCTCCTGAGCAGGCTGTGGTCACTGCTGGAGACAATAGCAATGCTGTTTGGTTCTTTCTTTCAATCCATTATTCTAACAGCAGATAATGCAACAAAAATTTCTCTGGTTGGCCTCAAACAAATTATTTTTATTTGCCTGAAAAATCTAATAATTTAAAAATCTGCCTTCTCAATAGAGGCTCAAGTTTGTGTTCTTCTATTTATTTATTTTTTAATCAAGAAAATCTAGTGTTTGTCTGTTTTGTCTGTTAACAAAAGCAATAGAAATAATACTACATATATTATTAACATTTTGAGAATGGCAACAGAAGTAAACTCAAAAAATATGATCCTCCTTTACTCCTTAGGAATAGGTAGGACAAAGTTTCAAACAGTTTTGCTTACTGGAGATTGTCTACACTGGTCAACTCTCATAAAGAAAATTCCCTGTCAGACTTTGGCCAAAAGAAATTTTACCATAACTCAAAATGTATGTGTACAAATATGAAATGCATATTACATGTCTTAAGATGAGTCAAAAATATATAAGTTTTCCATAAAAAATACTTATTTTGCAATTTTTTTTGTGGCTTTAGATGCAGTTCCTTGATGTATTAGTGTTTTAAATGCTGCATCTGGTCCTCTACAGGACTTCAAAATAATTTCAGAAATGTAAATGAGCTGTTTGTTAAAATCTAGAATGGAAAATTTCTCCATGGGCTAAATTATTTATCTTTTTTTAAAGTTTTCTTTTTTGTACTGATGTACAACTTTAATTGTAACTCTATGTAGTACAACTTTTGGCACTATTCCAATTTCCTCTAGTGACAGCATCAAATATTTTTTCATTTGGAAATCAGTCAAAATTATGATGATTTCTGTTAAGTTTGTCTGAAATGAGACAAAAGGCTTATATTGCATAGGCCACAAAACAGACGTTGAAAATGTTTGGTTGCCTCCAGTTTTGTCTGGACATCAAACAGATGACCTGGAAGTTAAAGGTCTTATATCTCATTAATAATAATACAAGCTGTCAAATCCCCCTGACCTAGTGTGTTCCTTAGCACAGGGCAGTGAGTCAATACACTCAGCACAATCCCAAGAAGTCTGGAGAGAAGGCTTTTCACATTTAGTCCTCAGGCCAGTGTGGACTCACTACTCATGCTGGCTCAGATGGAAGATCAGCTCTTGTTTATCAGTAATACTGCTGCTTTCTAGAAATATTTCTACTCTGAAGTTGAAAGTTGCTAAAAGTTATGGCAGTGCTGGGATGCTGCATCTGTCTCAGAATTCCTGGCCTATTTGCACTGGGGAGAAGGCTCCTCCAACCTCGAGGCAGACATCCAAGAAGAAGGGAAGATTCTATAGTGAAGGTTATGATACAACAAGACTAAAATTCATTAAAGACAGTTAGTGGCTTTCCTTGTGTTTATTTGGATAAATTGCTCAATCTCCTCATATAACAGAGTAAATAACATGTATTCATTCTTGCAAGAATGTTGTGAGGCTGTAATTCACTATGGCTGATGAGGAAGTCAGGTTCTGAGTTGATTGAGCCCACGCAAGTAACCAGATGCCTGCCAAAGCCCTTTGTCTTCCTAAAATAGCTCAAAGCATCATATCCTCCTATTTTTATTTCCTTTCTTTCTTTCTAGAAAATACTCTTTCAGAGAGTAGCAAAAGATTCCATCAAGGATCCCTTGCTTAGCTGGGGTATATTTGCAGCTGTCACCAGCTCTATGACAAAATAGATGAAGCGTGCTCCAGTTAAGAACATGTATCTTTCAAAAATGTCATTAAGGCTAAATTCTGCTCTCAAACACACACAAACAAGTCTCAGCAAGTGAAATGCATCTTCACAACAAAGAGAAAAGAACGTCTTCCTAAAATATAGAATTCATAAAACCTGGGTTGATCAACATTTATTTTATTTTTTTAATGACCTATTTTAATGCAAGATCAGTGCTCTAAAAAAATACCAAAACCCAAACCAAACAACAAACTTTGTTAAAAGAAAACCGCATATCTACTCGACAATATCTCCCTGTAAAAATGCAAGCTTATAATATTAGAACACACCCACATATTTTTCATTTTGAAACAATCACCCTCTAAGCAGGAGGCAAACTGTTAGCAAATTTATATTTTCAGGATCTTAAGAGAAAAGGTAAGTATTTAAGAGCCCTACTGTAGCATTAGGAAATAAAAATGGATAAGGACAAGAGTTAGTAATATCAAGTCACTACAGTGGATTTGATTGTATTATCCAGAAATTCACAATATATTAGGAAACTGTTAAAATTGACTGGGCTATCTCAATCATTAGTTCTAACAGAGATATGACTTGCCTCTTGAAGTGAACAGTCTTGGAAGAAAAGGAGCTAAAACTGAAACAGAAACACGTAAAATATTTTAATACATAAATGCTAAAATGAGAACAAGGTCTTTTGCTAACTCATACTGTAAGACAGTTTCAATACTGCTTTTGTTAAAAATTGTGATGCAAACTTTTAAGTCATAATCCTAAGACCATAATAACATGGAATCAGATTTTTATATTTTATTAAAATGTTATTTAATATAATGAAATCCGACCAACTGCAATTGCACCATATGGAATACTAAGATTATATAATAAAAATATTCAGGCTATAATTATTTATAAATTCTCCATCCCATATGCAATTTATCAAAGTGAACTTTACATTGATTTGTGCCACATGGTTGATGAAAAACTAAAAAGAGTCTCTGGAACAAAAGGTATGTAGAGATAACTTACTATGAACAATCTCAATCTGTTTCAAACTTTCATTTTTTTTCAGTTTTAAGTTCACAAATCAAAATATTGTATTATTTATATCCTCTTAGTTAAAAATTTTCTAAAACCCAAGTTCTCATCTGTTTAAAATGTGCCTTAGTTTCATGGAATAAACAAGGCTAAATTGTTTTAGTTAAATGTGGACAATCTTAAATCAATTGAAACCTAGTTTATAAAGATTTCATTTAATTCCTATCTCTTACTGAGACAATCCAAAGCATTGTAAATCAGGTTTGAATTGATTTAAGCTTTAAAGTTAAATTGGAGGCATATCTGAATATAGAAATTCCTATGTGTCATTTCACTGTGAGCAGTAACTAGATATAAATGATGCTGTGCTATACCATAACCAGACAGATCTCAAAGATTTCCAGATCATGTCTACTAAATGTACATAACTCTTTAGAATTAGACAAGAACAGACAGTGTGGCTTTATTTGGACCCGCTCTTCAGAGACATCAGAGATTGTTCAAACCTCTTTAGGCAAAAACCCCACCTTCTTTGCCTACTGCTTTTCCTGATTTTAGTTGCTGGACTCAAGTTTCAGAGCCAAGTTTCTATATACTGAAAACTAGGAAAAACAGTGATATCACTGTATGTGAAATCATACAAAATCAGCAGCTAAAGAGACGTTATCGTGGGATTCAGGGGGTTTTTACCAATGCAAAATTTACAGAAGACATGTATGATACTGTATGTGATCATTAACTCTCAATATCAGCACGAAAGATGAGTGAGAGTTGAGTAGCAAAGGCTGCAGTTAATCCAATAGTAAAACTGATATAGTGGAGCGTGGGTTCTTTTTGAGAAGCTCACAGGTTTTGGTACCATATGGCACCATTATCACATCACCTCACCACACTTGGAAGAAGTTTGCTTGCTCTGTTAGCATTGATAGGGAACACAAGGGCATCCTGTCAATATTTCAGGAGTTTTTTGGGTTTGGTTTTTTTTTTTTTTCACTTTCTATTATTTCTGTTTTTGCAATACTGACAATATCTCACAGTTTACAAATGGTAAAAGTAAAGGACTAGAATTACTGTGCCATGTCCTGAGGGATCAAGGGATGCCATCAGGCTGCAATCTTGAGTAAAAGGATAAATTGCACATTAATTCTTAAGGACACATTGAAATACTAGGTTTCTGCAGAGGGATGTAGCTATAGGAATAGTATTGCATCAGTGTGTTTGAACGAAATATCAGTGTTGTGGGAGATCAGACTTCATATCTGACTGAGAATTTCCAGACTAAGAATTTATCCTGTCCACTTTGCAGTTTTAATCAACATTTCAATTCAAATGCATATTTCAGGCTCTGAACAGCCTTTTAATCTCCTGCATGCATATTTAGTTGGAAGCACTGTTCTTAGCTGTAAGAACTTAGCCAAAGCAGTACAGAGTTTTCCTTCTAAAAGAGAAAGTGACGTTGATCAAATTATCCCACTCATGGTCCTGCTTGATGCACTACTGTGTTGTCTTTATACAACAGTGTCTCAGCAGCAGTTAGCAAGAAAAGCAAGAAAGCAAGCAGAGTGACATATTAACTAAGATAATCATATACTGATGCTTGCTCCCAAATAAAAGCATTTATTTCCCCCTCTCTGCTCTGCTCTAGTTCTAAAGCATGAGGCTAACTTCCATGTAAACAGTTGTTGGAGGGGTTTTTGCCTTTTCATTTTCTAATGTTTTTTGTTTGATTGTTTTGCTTTTTATTTTTTTAAGCATCTATTTATGATCTTATCCTTGCTACCGATTTTCACTATGGTATCAGAATAAAGTGCAGGAGCACTTAGAAATTCAGTTATGCAGAAAAAACCATGACATCACAAAACTCTCCTTTTGTGAAGTAGTTTAATAAAGATATGCCTAAGTAAATCAATCTAAAAAATTTCATACTGCATTTCATACTTCTCAGTTTTATCCCATCTGAGAGGAGAGCGCATTTTCAACTTTCAACATGCCTGTTTTTCTAGACTACTTCTCAGGAAAGGTAGTATCACCTCTAGGACAGAGCTGTAACAGAACCTGCTAGAAGACAGATGAAACAGATCTCACTGCATTCCTTCACCCAGGCAAGGACCAGAAGGGCTCTCTCGTGCATATTTACAGAGGGTTCACTCCCAGCTCATATGCTAACTCCTGAAGTTCATAGCTTGGTTACAGCTTCATTCTCTCTCTTAGTCCTTGCTTGCAACAGGCAACTTTTTCTCTCACTGTCACAGATGGGTTGAGATACTGCAGATCCCCCTTAACTCCATCACTGAGAGAACTAGGCGCCAGCAGGAGGGCAGGTGTCTCTGCACAAGCTGCGTGGCACTTGGGATCATGCACAAGCACACTCTGACTCACAAAACCCTGACTCGTGGAATGAGTCCGCATTTATATTTTAACACAGAAAAAAAAAAATGAAAAAGAAAAGAGAAGTTTCGCATTCGTATTTTTCAACAAGTCACCCTCACTAATAAAAGCACTTGAGGTGTTTCTATTCCCCACATCTCTGCTCAATAGGCAATAGTCACATCTCTGTGCAATAGGCAAATGCTTCGTAATCACTGCCCATACCTCACGGAAGTAGAGAGGAAGCAATAAAATCTGAAATACAAAGAATCTGTTCATTCTGCGATTGTATGCTGAGCTGTCAATATCAAGACATTAACTGCAAAGGTTAAGAACTAACAAGCTTAAAAGAGCCTTTTGACTCTTATCTTAGTTCTAATGAAAAGTATAATTACCTGCAAGGTTATCAATCTCTTTTTCTTGGAGCAGGCTAACAGCATCATCATCTCCCTCCAGCATAAGCTCTGTTTCTGCATTCTGATTCACCACAGCTTGACTTCGGAAAGCTTTCTTTGACTTCACTACATCCTCTTCAGTGCCTAAAAAAAGGTTACAAATGTTGTGAATTTACTTGAATAACATTTAAAAGTTAAAACAATGACAGTCAAGTAGTAAAAACATTACAGTATAAATAATTTTTATCAAAAAAAAAGGACCCTTTTCTAAAACTTTACCAAGGTTTACAAAATATGCAGCACTATTCTGTTCTCTGTCCTGTCCTGAACAAAATACAAACTTTTCCACAAAGACTCTCCTGGTTTTAATAATTGCTATTTACTTTGTGTTCAATGTTGTTCCATTAGTTTTCCACCTGCAACAAATTCAGCAGGAATTTCTTTTGGGTTCCTGGTGCCCTGACTCTGACTGACCTGAGAGCACAAGCCACCTACTCTAAATAAAGAAGCTGCTTTCAGGAATCAAAATCTCTCAGGATTTTTATCTTTTCAGATAGGAGGGATAGGATGATGAAGTAGGAGGTGGTTTATCTCTGATACATGGTAACAACTAGGTAGGCTATGCAGAGATTCAGAAAAGACTGAAAAAAAAGACAAGCACGGTGAGGGAACTTCAGTGCACATCTGTGTGTGTGTTTTTAAGCAACACAATAATGATGGCAGTACATGGATATGTGCCAGTTACCCAAAGGTTTTAATGGATAATTCTCATTTTTCTTGACTACAGTTGGATTTTTCTATTCAACCTGATAGTTCCTTATGGCAGGAAATTTAACTTAATGCATTTTGGGAATATCGTCCTGAAACTTGCCTGATTTTATTCTTATGATGTAAAAAATAAATCCAAGTGTGGTCAAATGACAGAATCATAATTTGGTTTTATAAGTACCTTTCATGTTACTGTCGTAACCTCCTAATAGTATTTCTTTTTTTAGCTGGGAAGAGGTAACAAGTTTTATTTTCAGTACTATGGACTGAATGTAGCCTCAGGCAAGAAAGATTTCTATTTTTTTCTTAAACAGAAAACCTTGCATCTTCACCTTGGACCATACAAGACCTGGGCATCTCCACTTCTGTCAAGAAATAAACCCCCTAAACTCTTTTTTGTAGGATAATTTGGAAATTTGCTTCCTACTAAGCTGCAGAATGAGTGTGAAAACAAGCAAAACTATACACAAAGTATATACAAAACAAAAAGATTTTGTTTGTCTTCCACAGTGCCTGAACTTAAACAAGATAAAAACTATTATGTCAGATGTAAAATACTGTGGTAAAATCCAGTAAGGCTCATGGCCCCCTATTAATACAGGACAACTAAGAGGAATATAATAAGCAGACAGGTTAGTGAAGATAGATACATGGAATGGAATTGATGTATCAAGCAGTTTTGTTATTACAAGCAGTTGGGAAGATGTTATGATTTTACCTCCTACTCTTATAATTAGTTAGAGTCTTTTAATTAGTTTGTGCACAGGAGAGTCACAACACATAAATAAAAATGCTGGAGGCACATCTTTCTGTGGGTGTGTTTACTCTGTTTGAAGATCACTGCTAACATGCCACTTCATCACAGGCTTAGATAACTCATGTTTTACATGGCCTAACACTAACCTTTTGGATACTATTGCTATTATCTCAATTGCTATTTCTGAAACTACGTTCTGAAACTCTAAAAAGGTGAAGAGAAACAAGTAAGCAAAACCCCATTTCTTTTACCAAGCTCAAAGTTAGGGACTTGTTTGCTGTTGTCTCTATTAGGACCATTCTGATAGTGATTAAGACCGTGCTGCTGTATTGTAATATGCTATGTTTTGCTGTGTTCAGTTACTAGGCTGTGATCATTACTTCACTTGCATAGGTTTTTACTTAATTCAACTCACTAAAATTATTTGCCCAATTTAAGACTGGTTCATTTAACTGATTGTTGGAAAAGTTTTCAATATTAGCACAAGTGTTGGATTTTTTTTGTTGGTTGGTTTGTTTTTTTTTTTTTTTTCTTTCTTATTCACAAAAAGAAGCAAGAATGGTAGGAGTTAGGAAGAAATCTCAAAATGTAACGTGCTGTAACAGATTTTCAGTTTCATTACATCAGAATTGTTTTGCATATTAAATCAGTAGGTCAGGATCTTAATACACTTCTGTTTAAAGCAAGGGAGCTGAGCATCACTTGACACAAATAATAACTCCTGTTGTGAAACATGTGACACCAGAGGAGAGCAGGCCTGAGATGAACTAACATGGTGAAGGAAGAAAGCTTCAAAACACCGTTCTCTTCCTTTTTGGTAGCTCTAATCAGTTTTATGTAAATTTCTGAGCTTTATAAAATGTGATAATCTTCAAATTAACTAATTAAAAAGTACTAATCTGGAGTAAGAGTCAATCATTTCTGCAGTAACTAATTAATGACAATTCTATACAATTATTTATGCATGAAAATATATTCTTAAACTTACCAGAAAGTAAGTCCCAAACTCCAAATTATTACTAACATTTAAACTACATCCAAAGAACTTATTTAAAATCCATTCCAGTTTATAATATTAAAAATACATTTATGTCTATGAAATATAATAAATAGTCCTTCTTTGTCCTGATGGGAAAAAAAAACCCCTCTGGTTTGGCTGTTGTTAAAATTTATCACTCTGTTGAGTGCACCTTAGTTTTGCTGTACTGTACCAAACATCTATCTAAATGAAAGTGTACAGGACCTGGAGTTGCCCTTCAATCACTATATCCTTTATGAATTAGAGTTCCATTTATCAAAATTACAGCAAGAAGAGTAAGGTCTCACAGGGCTGTCTCATTACAAGGCTTGTAAACACTGTCCTTACAAAGAAATGGTTTAACACCTAACAAATCAAAAACTGATTGGGAATAGAATTTATTTGAGATCATCTATCTTCGGAAGACGTGCTGTACTGAGTGCACTTCGTGGCCTTTCTACCCATTCATCAAGAAATTAACAAGCTAATACCACAGACCACCAGATCTCCTTGGATCCTGAAATGTGAAATATGTTCAAAACAGATCTGTCACAGATGTTCTATTTTTATATTTCAAGATGACTTCAAAAAGGTTTTAAAACAAGAGAAACTCTCTAAATAAGAGAAAGAAGAAAAACAACTTTAAAACCAGACAACAAACCGAATAAGAAATTATATGACATAAACCTATGTCTATTATTGTTAACAGTGATATAAAAAGGAGAAATGAATAAATGAATATTTGATATCTCAGGGTGTTGGAAAAAAAAATCAAAACTCAATTTTGTTTTCAAAGTTTCAACAAAATTACTATTAAATTAAATCTATGGCCAGACATTACATTTCAAAATTTTCAGCACACAGAGTCTCTGTTTTAAAGACACAAAATGAAATTGTATTAAGTCTAATTAGAATAGGTTTTAAATCCATTAAAACAAGAAAAAATGAAAAAAAACCCTAGATGTCATTTCAAGAAGGCAATGTTGTGACACCGGAGGGCACAGAACTAGAACTGGCAGATGCTATCAGTTCTTGTCCTTATCAAGTTCCTTCTTAAGGGATATTTTAAGGAATAGACTTAAGGGATAGACTGGGATTTGGAAAGGAGCCTTGAAGCAAGCAGCTAAGTATTTCTTAAAACTAGCTTTTGCAGATTTTGAAGGCGGTAAATCACTCAGATTGCACTGAAGTCCAGCTGAATTTGGTGACTTGCTTTCTTGAAACTTAAAGGCTCTGTCTTAAACATATTTCAAAAGGCATAGGACTAGATAAGCTGTTAAAAAAATCCTTCTTTCATTACATCTGTTAGATTATTTTGGTAAATGTGCATGTTACAAACTGTCTTTCTACAGTAATTTCACGAAAACTAAAAACCCTTTAAACTGAAACTCCTTTAAAATAAATCAAAGAAACCCACCAACAGTCCTCTACAAAACCTCAATATCCATGGGAAGGTGTGTATTTTATATGTCTGAAAGACTGTATGAACTGCACAGCAAACTTGTTCAGTACTGACAATAATATACTAATCTCTCTTCTAGTAGCATTAATTTTCCTCAAACAGAAACTATTAAGCAGTCAAAAAAACCCCAAACTGACAAACAAAAAAACAAACAAAAAAAACCAAAACAAAATCCCAAACAAACAAACAAAACCCCAAAAGAGCCACAAAAACCATTACCACAACCCCTCAAAATCTAATAATTTCCCTAATTAGAGCAGGAAAATCTCATGTCAATTTTCAGATACAGCCAATAGAAGTATTTAATATACTTCATGAAACAAGGGTGGGTGGGGTGGGTTTTTTTATTATGTTATCTGAATTTTTGAGTCTCTATTTTCAACTAAATCAATTAATTCCCTACTGGGTTCTATAGGTCACAACAGATTCTAGGGATGCAATCTACATTTCAAAGACTCTGTAAGTGTCCAGATCCACAAAAACTGTCCATAAATAGAATTGTAAAATTAGCAGCAAAAACACATATTATTGATTTAATTATTGATAAAATAATATGATAAATATTGTTGATTTAATTAATGTTTATGTACTTATTTCAGTAAAAATCAAACTAATTACTATTATTTAGTAATGTGAACACAGCAAGGGAGTTTCTAGGTCTCTCTTCTATTCATTTACTATATATCCGAATATAGTGTTTTATATTTTTTTTTTTCTGTATTTAGTAAAAAATGAAGTTAAAGATATGGTTATTTTTAAGAAAAGTTTGCTTGGTAATACTGTAGCCAACAAAAGGAGACTACTGCTTCTTATAAAGTTGTTTCCATAGTTTACTTCAGCGAATTACCGATAAGGCAATTTATGTAGTGAGTGCTCTTTGATCTTTGAAGAGAGATGGCAGAATGGAAAGTTAACCTCATTTTAATGTTACCTAAATATTCTGACAGGAAATTCTAATGTTTCCAAACATCTGGAAATCTGCTTCATGGCATGGTGTTCTTCTTTTCTATAAGAAACCTTTTTCATATACTGTCTTTTACAGTTTTATGTGGCTTCTAAAGGAGCATTTGACATACGTAAAGTCTGTTCTCTTTACAGTAAAATGCTGCATTTAATTAAAAGCTCTCTTTTATAGTGGC